AAAGACCATAGACATCCCAATCCTCCTCTAGATAGAGAAGACCCAAGGCCTTAAGTCCCAGAGGCAGCTGGTGGTGAAGTTGAGACAGCGCTGGTCCGAAAGTCAGGAAGACCTAAGTCAAATCCAACTTCAGATACTTACTAGCTATGTGATTCCGGGCAAGTCACTTAACCTCGGTTTGACTCAGTTTCCTCAACTGTAAAATGGGCATAATAATAGTACCTTCCCCCCAAGGTTGTTATGAGGATCAAATCAGATCATATTTGTAAAGCATACTTATTGTGGTGCCTGGCACATAGTAAATGTTTAATAAATACATATTCCCTTCCCCTTCCCCCCACCCCATCTCAATCTTAGCCACTTCCAGGTCTGAAATGAGGTTGTGTTTGAAATGGAACATTGGATCTCTCAAGGAGCTGGAATTCAAGTAGAAGAGGATAGTTGAGCACAGACATTGGGTGGGAAGAATTAAATGTAGCTAAGAAATCTCAAATGAGAATGAAAAAAGCCTGATAAAAATGGAAAATAGCACCAACAACAACATAGTACAGTAAAGAGATGGTATGGCTTAATGGAGGGAAAGCACTGGACTTGATATCAGAAGACCTGGGTTCAAATCACTGCTCTGCCATCTACTCTATGGGTGAAGCTGGACAAGTCACTTCCCTCTGGCCCTCACTTTCCTCATCTGTAAAATAAAAGGGTGGAATTTGATCATCTCTGAAGTCCTTCTAAATATTATGATCCTACAGTATAGTAGGACTGTAACTGAAACATTTCACTGAATCATCTTCAAAAAGTTGAAATAATTCAATAGAGAAATATGGATAGGCTGAAATGGAAAATGAATGAATGAATGAATGAAAAAGCATTTATCGAGCACTTCTTACTAGATGCCAAATGCTGCACTAAACTCTGGGGATACAAACACAAAAAGCAAAACAGTCCCTGCCCTAAAGGTGCTTACATTTTAATAGAGGAGGACTACACAAATATAGGCAAGATACTTTAGGAAATCATAGGAATGAGGAGAAAAGTCAAAGGGCAATTGATCAACATGTTTCCAGAAAGGGAAGTGTTCATTTAAAAACTTCCCAGAGCTAGAGGTTCTAGAAAGCCAGAAAATGTGTGTGTGTGTGTGTGTGTGTGTGTGTGTGTGTGTGTGTGTGTGTGTTGAGGGAGGGAATAATAAGTATATGTGATCTGGAGCACATTGTGAAGACAGAAGGAGAACAGCATGATGGATCTGGCTTCAGCTAAATGTGGTGAGCTCTCATCCATCAGATAACACAGGGTTCCAAGGTAGGGGTTGGAGTTTTCATGAGGCTGAAGCTTCATAGCATGAAGATGGCCAAAGAAGGTTTGTTTGGGTCAACCTAGAAATGGTGAACCCTCGCCCACCAGGAGCACACACAAAAGGCATTCAGAAAATAACAAAAATGGGAAAAGGGTCGAAAGTGGAGGAAAAAGTCACGTATCTGGAAGGTGGAATAAGAAGGGGAGGCATCAGAACTTCTGGTGTCCCAGAACACACCAAAAAAAAGAGACAAGAATCTTATCACTATTTTTGAGGAAATAAGATACTCTAATAGATCTAGAATTTTATCAGCGTGGGCATTCATTAGTACATCAATCCATAAATCATAACATAAGATTATAGTTTCATAGGTTTGACCTGAGCCACAGGGACCTGGGGTGGCCCATGTTTAGAGATATATTTAGATACACATAATCTGATCTGGGATCTGGCCCACTCTGTCTCCAGGGAAACTGTGATTTCCACCTTTGGGCAGGGCAGGAAGGCTAGGCACTCACTCCTCTACTCTCCTATTTCCAAGAAACATGTCAGTCTAGAATTATATCTATCTATTCCATGTCTGATATTTGCAGTCTAGGGGCACTACGTTCTTTTCAGAGTTCAGGATAAAGCCTGTTCCCTTGGTTATTCAAAAAGGAAGAGTAATAGTTTACTCTTGGCCAGCTTAGCTTCCTCTCACCAAATGTTTATTACATATAAGACAATCACAGACAGCAAGCAACTATATTTACCTAAGCAAGCAGTAAAGCAGAAATAAGTTAGGGTATAGGTTAGGGTAGATGATAGAATACACATGAGAAAATGGGCTCTTCAACTCAAGAGCAAGAAAAAAATCATTTTTCAACCAGGGCAAGAACTGTCTCACTGGAGCAGTCTGCTCTTAGCCGTCGCTGGAGGTGCAAATGTTGGGAATCAAAGATCATGTTGGGGGTTGGGGGTGGGGTAACTTTCCACATATGCCTGCAGCTCCAAAAATTCTCATTAGGCATCCGAAAGTTTATGCCTTCTCTCTTACCCTGCTTCTCTGATTCCCTCCCTCTGAAGTCTTTCTGGCTTATATATGCCGTCTGCCATGTTATAGACTCAGAGGTCTTTCAGCCAGTCAGTAGTTACATCACCCTAGACATATGCAGTTGTCATAGGGCTGGCCTTCAGGGAACCAATTACCCCACTTGGGCATGGGTATCACAACAGGATCACAAACTTGAGTTGGCTGGAACCTCAGAGGCAGCTAAACGAACCCTTTCATTTTACAGATAAGAACTGGGGCCCAGCAAAGCTAAGGAACTTTTCTAGTGTTTCACAGGTAATAAGTAGCAGAACCAGGGTCTCTGAATCTCAAAATGCTAGAGCATCCACCCAACATGGTAGCCTTTCCCTAGTTCTTTTCTTTTTTTATTTAGTATTTTATTTTCCCCTAGTTACATGTAAAACCTGGTTCTTTTTATATTTGAGAGGCATCAGTGAAGCACTCAATCTGAACTGAATGCAAATGCTCATATATATAAATATACACGCAGCAAGTTACATACCAGCTTGTTGGATTGGGTCAAGGAAAAACCTTGACATCGTCACATGCTAAAATTGATAGAGAAGATTCCGGCAGCCAACTATGAGAACATTATAACCAAGCAAAAATATAAATAAGAAATGTTACGAACTTGAACAAATTGTTAACTCCAGGTAGATTTGAGAGAGAGAAAGGGGGAGGGAGGGAGAGCAGAGAGAGGGGGAAAGAGAGAGGGAGAAAAAGAGAGTTAGGAAGAATGAGAGAAAGAGAAAGATGAAGAAAGAGAAGGAGGGGGAGAGAGGGAGGGAAAAGAGAGAAAAAAGAGAGAGGGAGGGAGAAAGGGACAGAGACAGATGAAGAGGGAGGGGTAGAGACAGGAGATTCAGAGACTGAAAGACAGAGAGGGAGGGGGACAGGAGAGAGAGAGAGAGAGAGAGAGAGAGAGAGAGAGAGAGAGAGAGAGAGAGAGAATTTAATGAAAAAAGCAGGGAAATATACATTTCTCAAATACACATTGGAAGGCTCCCAAAAATCATATTCTTCAGTGCACAAGAAGTCCTAGATAAATTTAGACAGGAAGGAATCTTACATGTTATATTGTAGCTTTCTGAAATCAATCATTCACTGGATCCATGATCTCATTAGGGTGGCTAGGGCCTCTATCAGAGCAGATCATGCCCACGTGTGCCTACTCTTTCTGTGCAGTTCTTGTCTATACCCTTCACCATGGGTCTTCTATCTGCCCTGCTGCTGCACCCCTTCTCCCCACCTGGAGCAGCTACCCTCTAGACCTGATCTCCAGATTCCATACCTTCCCTCTCTCCCTCCAGTTGATCCATCCAGCTTTGGAACATGGCCCTAGGCCTTGGCTGCCCTAATTGATGAGTGAGTACAAACTCCCCTAGTCTGTTATATCTAACTGGTCCCAAACTCTATGTTACGGGGCAGCTAGGTGGACACTTAATTAGCTGTGTGACCCTGGGCAAGTCACTTAACCCCAATTGCCTAAGGAAAAAAACAACTCTGTGTTGCATAGTAACCAGTCATCCACCCAGCATCTTGCCACCACCCTGCCAAGTGCATACCCTCTCACCTCTTACTCTGGGCCTCTTATACCCATTGCTCTGAGCAGAGTATTAAATTAATATTACCATTGCTTCTGGAAAGGCCATGTCAGTCTACTACCCTATGGCCTCCCTAACTATCCCTATGACTCCCCAGACCAAAGATCCTTTCCCTGCCCACCACTTTTCTATATGTCTTGTCTTCCCCATTAAAGTATAAGCTCCTTGAGGACAGAGACTTTTTCACTTTTGTATTTGTATTCCCTATACCTGGCACAGAGGCTGGCACACAGTAGGCACTTAATAAATGCTTTCCCATGTATTTATCCCCCCTAAATCTTCCACAGAGGACCTAACCAACATGCTCAGGGCATTCCCTCTGCCCTCAGCACTCAGGCTGTTCATCTGTTTCCTTCACTCTCACTACATAACCGTCCTAGCACCTTTTCTGCTCAACCATGTCAGTCTTTGGTACCACTTCTCCCTCACAAGTCATCATTGGTAATAGACCGCAAACTGCTTGCACCCATCATTTGTCTTTTTAAAAATGTTTTATTGGTATTCCTTTGTTACATAATTGTCACCAATGATTCCTCATCTCCGACCCTAACAGAATCCTTCTCTGTTGAGTCGATCAAAACAGATCAACACATAGGCCACGTCTGAACATGTAAGCATCATTCTACATATCGGGCACAGAGAGGCAGGAGGCATGACCCCAGAAGCATCCGTCCTCCGGGGTCACCACTGGGCCTTCCATGGAGCAGAGCTCTGCAGTTTTCCTGTGTTGCTCCTCTTTACATTGTTATGGTCAGAATGTAAATCACTCTCCTTGTTCTGTTTACTCCGCTCCCCATCAGCTTGTACGAATTGAGCCAAGTCTCTCTGCACATCCTCAGCCTCTTCCATTTCTCATGATTCAATATCCCATTGCATTCACATACCACAGACAGCTGCTAGGTGGTGCAGTGGGTAGAGCGCCAGGCCTGGAGTCAGAAAGACTCATCTTCCCGAGTTTAAATCTGGCCTCAGACACTTATTAACTGTGTGACCCTGGGCAAATCACTTCACCCTGTTTGCCTCAGTTTCCTCATATTTAAAATGGTCTGGAGAAGGAAATGGCAAACCACTCCAGTATCTCTGCCAAGAAAACCCCAAAAGGGGTCACGAAGAGTCAGACACGACCGAAAAACGACTGAAAAGTCTCTCCATTGCCGCTGGGTCACCTGACGCTGTGGTTCGTCTGCGATCGTCTGTGATTCCACTAGAAAGAAACAACAATAACGTGAACAAAAGGCATTGGATTATATGGGAATTAGTAAACAATTTACCCAACAAGGAATGAGTTAATGAACAAATTGTAAAAATAATAACAAATTACTTAAATGGCAACATGACACATATAACCAAACTGATACTTAGTGGCAAAGTTATGGTACTAAATGCCTCGATTAATAAATTTTTAAAAGAGAAATTAAATTAATTGAATCCACATTTAAAGAAACTAGAAAAGACACAAACTAATAAACCAAAGGAAAGCAGAAGATAAGGAAATTTTACTCTAAGAAGAGAAATAAATAAAAAGAGACATACCCCTTATACAACATGACTCCTTGTCAGCTACATCACTCCCCCACCCAAGTCTCTGGCATTATTGGGTTAGTCATCTCTTTAAACCTATGGCTCAAGAACCCCCAATGATACTTATTTTTTTTTGAGACAAAGTCTATAACAGCAAATTCAAAGCAAAGACATTTAATTGAACAGACTAATAGGCAATAACATGAAATTGAATCGGATCTTAAACTTTTCCTCCATTCATTCTTAAGTACTTGCTGTCCATCCTCACTTATGATCCTACATCATTCCTAGAGCTAGAAGAGGCCCTAAAGTCTATCTAGTCCTCTCCTTTTACAGATGAAGAAACTGAGGCTCGTGGAGGTTAAGGGATTTGCCTATGTCTCATAACTAGGAAGTGTCAGAGATAAAATATAAATCCAGGTCTTCCTTAATCCAGGCCCAGCATTCTACCCATGACTCCACACAGGGGTGCTGGTCTCATTCTCAAGGAACCCTTCGAACTCCTCAGCACAGAAGGAAGGTGGTATATTAGCTACTCACTTGCAAGCTGGGCATATTCCCTATGACTTCAGGCCCCACTTCCTGACCTGCTCCCCTGCTCAGCACCAGACCTTCTCTCCAGACTCTGGTTACTTCCACTCTTGGTCCCATCTCGAGTTGCAGAACCCCTGGCCATCAATCAGTCACACCTGATCCTGGCCTGATCTGAGGTCTCAGCACCCAAGATTCATTCTCCTCAGTGAGATTTCTGCTATCTTTTTTCAAACTGGCTATGCTAAAATTTGCTCAGCTAACATATAGGCTTCTGAGGGGTACAACTATCAAAAGTAAGCATAGTATCTATTTTCTAGGCCTTCCCCTTAAATAGAAAACAAAAGGAACAACTAAAGTGACAAATAGAACCAAGTTTGGGTGGGGGTGTTTAACGACAAATTCTTTTTTTTAAATAATTAGCAAGTTTAATCTGAAAAAGGAGAAAAAAACTAAAATTACCAAAAATTAAAATGAGAAAGGGAAGATCATGATATAGACAAAATAAAATAAAACAAAACAAACCCAGAAACTATGTGAATAAACTTATTCAAAAAAAACATTTTATACAAATAAAATTAGATTTAAATAATTGGAGAAATAGTAATTGCTCATGGGTAGGCAGAGACAATATAATAAAAATGACAATTTTACCTAAACTAATTTACAGAACTGAACACAACCCTCCAGATACAGTGTGTTCAGAAAAGAGGATAGTGGAGCTGTCACTATCCTTATTAAATGCCCCCCACCCCTGCCAGCTCCAGAATATATTTGGAGATTTCTCTAAAAGGTTGCATTATTCCCAAGATAGGAAAACAGCCACATAAATTAAATCCATCACCAAGGCAGCTTCCCAAGTCTTAGCAAGATGGATCCCACCACCAGAAGGCATCAAAGGAGGACTCTGTTGGAGGCAAACATCATAAGATAGTACAAAATTTCCTTTCTAAATGTGGCATCTTCATAATGGAACCCAACACTTCCAATGTGGTCTGAACAAGGCAGAGAGCTTTTTAATTTTCTGGGTATGAGGCTTCTACTAATGGAGCCAATAATACTAATCACTCTTTTGGCCATCAAGATCATGTCATTGATTCACATTGAGCTTATGGTCTATTTATAAACCCCAGAGCTTTCTTTCACACAAACTGCTTGCCTAGCCATGCCTACTCCCACCCAATATGTGTACAGTTGATTTTTTGATCCCAAGAAAAAAAAACCTTTATATTGTCTCAGTTTAATTTACATTTATCCCAATTAAAATCTACTGGATTTGGCCTGTTCTTCTAACCCAAGCGTTCTTTATTTGGGGCACACAGACTGCTCCCCATCCAAGGAATCCATGGATAGATTTTAGGGGGGGGATGTCTGTGAATTTATTTTTCTAATGTTTTGATAATTGTTTTCCATGTGATTATTTTTCTTTGTAATCCCATTATTTCATTTCATGTATTTATAAACATTACTCTAAGAAGGGAACCATAGACTTTGCCAGCTTGTTAAAGGGTTCTATGACACAAAAAAGCTCAGAACCCCTATCCTGGCCTGTTAAAATCTTCTTAACTCCTGCTTCTGTCACCCCGCATGTTAGCTACCCTCACCATCAGTTGACATAATAGAAAAAACACTAGATCTGGAGTCCAAGGACCAGCATTGGAATTCAGGCTTTTTCAGTTACCACCTGTGTTAATTCTGTGACCCTCAATGTCCTTAGTAGCCTGTAAAATGAAGGTGTTGGGTTCAATGACCTCTAAAGTCCCTTCTAGCTCTAAATCTGTGACCCCAAGATCCTGCAATACTCACTTTCATTCAAATCACTGACAAAGAGGCTAAAAGACAAGAGCTGAGGATAGAGCCATGTCTCAGGCAAAGACCAGCACGAGGTGGTGCCCTAACTCTGACACTTACTAGACCCACAATCCTGAGCAAGTAACTTCACCCAGTTTTCTCATCTGTTAATAAGAAAAACAATCCCTTTGCTCTTCCTAGCTCCAATTAATACTGTGAGGAGGTGATTCAGAACAGTAAGATGGCACAGTGGATGCAGTGCTGGGCCTAGAGTCAGGAAGACCCGAGTCAGATATGACCTTAGACACTCACCAGCTGTGTGACCTTAGTCAAGTCACTTAACTTCTCTTTGCCTCAGTTTCCTGATCTGTAAAACAGAGATCGTAATAGCGCCTACCTCTCAGAGTTGTTGTGAGGATTATACGAGATAATAACTGTAAAATACTTGGCACAGTGCCCGACACATGATAAATGCTATGTAATACTAGTTATTATTATTTGTAAACCTTAAAGTGCAATCAAAATATGCATGGCTAATGACGAGGATGATGAGGATGATGGACATTGTCTGTGGGGACTGTTTAAACCCTGGATGAAGTGGAGGGTTTGTCTAGAGGAGCATAGGGAAATAAGATTGAAGAAGTAGGTGAGGAACAGATTGAAGAGGGCCTCAAATGCCAGGTTAAGGCATTTAGACTTTATCCTGTAAGAAAAGAGGTGCATTTGGGGGCAGGTAGGTGACACAGTGGATAGAGCACCAGCCCTGGAAGCAGGAAAATCTGAGTTCAAATCCAGCCTCAGACACTTACTAGCTATGTGACCCTGGGCAAGTCACTTAACCCCAATTGCCAGAAAGAAAGAAAAGGTGTGCCTTTGCAAGTTTTTGAGTTAGCAACTCCCAAGCCTGACTCTACAATTCTCCACGGACCCCAAGGAATATATTGAAAGAACAGAAAAAAAAATTGAAATGAAAACCAATTGTCCAAAACTAAATTACTTTTAATTCGACATAATTAAACATGTGTAATTACATATCATATGGTATTTTTCCTTCGCTACAACTCAATAGTCTTGTTTAACAGCGAATGAAACCTAATATATAATTATAATAACTCAGTCAAATATGACATATATATCCAATTAGTTCTTTAGGGTAGCTGGTATTCCCACAACCATCTCAGTCACTTAGAACTCTGGTTTTTTTACATGACTTCACACAGATTCATATCTCACGAGACCATCCTATCTGCTGGCAGCCACAGGCCTGTGGATGTGACAGAGGCAGCCTCTTCCAACAGTCTGACTAATCCTGCTGACTTTATTTGACCGTGAATTTTAGCAATCTCTCATGGCCCAAGCCTCGTTGATCTTGAAAAGAAACTCTCAGGGAAAACTCCTCTCAACTTTCCATTCTCTTCTTCATAACTGGGTCAGAGGTTAGAGCCAGGAAATGGAGTCTCCAGCTTGCTCTTTTAGTCTAAAGAATTGGCTCGTAGACCACACAGAACATCAGAGCTGGCACAGTTCCGAAAACCCAGGACAGAGACCATCCCAGCTGAAGGGGAGGTTAGGACACGGAATGTCAGGGATGTCAGAGCTGGAAGGGTCCTTGGAATATAGACAATCAGAGTTGGAAAGGACCTTAGAACATAGAACACTGAATGTTAGCACTGAGAGGAACTTCATTTTTCCGATGAGGAAACTGAGGACCGAAGAGATTGAGCCTCTTGATCTCTCTGAGGAGCAAAAAAAAAAATGAAGTTCCTTGCGCAGGACCCTGTGGTTCATAATAACCGGTAGAACCATGATTCAAACCCAGATGTCCTGATGTTTAAAATCCAGTGATATCTACAGTGCCAAGTGTGGAAACGGGAAGAAGGTAATTAGTGAACACAAGCAAGTTACTTAATCTCTCTGAGGTTAATAAAGGTTAACTGAGGTTAAGCCTCAGTTTTCTCATCAGGGATAATGCTCTACCTTCCAGGGTGGTTGTCAGGACCAAATGACATAATTAACCTCTAACAACTTAAAACTGCGCTAAGACTTTGGAAATACCCTGTACAGTATTTTAAATGTTTTGTCACCCTTAAAGTGGGAAGGGAACAAATCTTAATTAAGCACCTAATATGTGCCAGGCACCGTGCTAAGTGCTTTACAAATATTATCTCACTGATACAACCATCCTGGCTTGTAGGTGCTGTTAGTATCCCCTTTTTACAGTTGAGGAAACAGAGGCAAACAACTTAAGAGACTTGCCTAGGATCACATAGCTAGGAAGTATCTGGGGCTGGATTTGAACTTATGTCTTCCTGGCCCACCATACTATACGTTGTGCCGCCCAACTTCTCCAAATGGTATACA